GAATTAAAGCTTTCTTGGCATTGCAAGTTAACAGGTAGAAACTAGAACATTTTTACAAATTTAAATATCACAGTGATAACAAAACAACGTATATGATGCGCTGCAAGACATACTGTACGTAATAGATATAATCCTCTCACATCCGAGTGTCGTCAGCCACGAAGTAATGAGACGACCATATATAATTAACATAGCTTAATTATATATAAATGTTCTCTATCTTTCTCTTATTGTAAGAAGAACATTTTTTTATAGAACAAAAGATACATTTTCAGATGATGTTTTTAAAATTATGGATTTTGAATATGAAATCATACTTGCTTCTATTTTCTGTAAAAGATATAGTCTTCTCATATCCGAGTGTCGTCAGCCACGAAGATATGAGACGACTATATATAATTTACATAGACGTAATTATATATAAATGATTAATTTGTCTTTCTCTTAATGTAAGAAGAACATTTTGTTTTGAAAGAACAATAGATACATTAGCAGATGATGTTTTTAAAATTACGTATTTCGAATATGAAATAATATTACATATGTTTTGATTTTTCTTGTTTCTCATTGGTTTATTTGGTCACGTGTTTCCCAATATATATTTTGTATTTTTTCAGTATTTTTCCATATTGACTCGACGTTACTATTTTTAAAATTATATTGACTCCATGTTACAAAAAATAGTAACATCGAGTCAGTCTCATTCACACAATTTACATATGTAATATATAAATTAAGGACTTTCACTGAGTCAATACATTATATATGGACCTGTTAGATTATATTGAACCTCAGACTTCGTCCTCGGTCAATATTATCGGAACAGGTCCATATATAACGTATTGACCTCGTCAAAAGTCCATAGTTGATAAATACAAGTACTTGTTTCTATATTTATGTCATCAAATTGATACCTTATCACTGATTTTACATGGCTATATGAATTGCTGTTCCATGTTGTCTTTTTCTTGTTTAATTGCCAAAAACCTTTACTTTTTGATAATAAATGAAAGGATATCACTTCTATGTATAAAGGTGTTACATAATGTTTATACTTATGTATTTTGTCAGTAAATACAGCAATGTGTTATTTTATTTAGCATATCTAGTAACACAGCAAAAAGACAGATAATGAAATATTTTGTGTATTAAATGTAAGCCTCAGCCCCTCAGATATGATAGGATTACATCTGATTTACATAGAAGTGATAAATAAATATTTTATCTTTTCTCTTGTTCTAAAAAGAGCAATTAGTTTTGATTAAACAGAAAAGGTGTCATTATCTCTAATTTTCAAGATTTCAGAAGCTGTTTTGTAGATATAGATTTGGAATGAAATCTTAATAGCGTATATTTTTCTGTCACCAAAATTGATACCTTATCACTGCTTTTGTATGGCAATATGAATCTCTGTACTGTCGTGCCTTTGTCTGGTTTTATTGCCAAAATCTGAACTTTTTGCTGATAAAATAATTCAGATTACAGAAAGGTACAACAAAAAAGTAATATAAGCATTAGTGTACTGTAAAAAACGTAGGATATCATATACATTATTATTATCATTATTTTCTTTATATATTAATGATTTACTCCCTATTTTTGACTCCACATGTGATCCGCCCAAGTTAGATGATAATGATATTTCGTGTTTGTTATATGCTGATGATTTAGTTCTTATTTCTGAAACTGCTAATGGCCTACAAAAATGCCTTGATAAGCTAAGTTTATATTGCACTAGTTGGGATTTAACAGTAAATCTTGACAAAACCAAAATCATGATTTTTTAACAAATCTGGTAAAAAACTTACAAAAGACAAGTTTGTATTTAATGATAATGTTTTGGAACACTGTACAGAATATAAATATTTGGGTATACTGTTTAAACCCTCTGGTAGTTTTAATGAGGCAGTGAGACTTCTTTGTAAAAAAGCCTCAAAAGCTATATTTTGTATTAGAAAACTGTTATTTTCTGAAGATACTAATGTTTTACCTCACCTCAAGCTTTTTGATGCTTGTGTTAAACCTATACTTCTTTATTGTAGTGAAGTTTGGTCTCTATATATGATTAAAGATATTACAAATCTAGAGTCAAAATATTGGTCATTGGCTACCAAATAAAATTCAGATTAAATTTGCAAAAACTTTAATTGGAGTAAATAAAACAGCTGTCAATTTAGCAGTACTAGCTGAACTTGGTATGTATCCAGTTTTTATAGAAGCTTTAAAACTGTCAATTGGCTTCTGGTTGCATGTGATAAAATCTGGTAATAATTGTTTACTTAAAGATGTATATAGTTCAAACCTGCAATTAACTAATGGATTTGCGAAAAAGATTGAACAGCTACTTGCTACATTAAATTTTTCACATGTTTGGGAAAATCATGATACTATTTCAAAAAGGCGTTTATTATATGCACTTCATACCAAACTTAATGATAGATATCTGAATTATTGGAAAGAAAATATTTTTTGTGATGATAAATCATTGCACGGTAATAAGCTCAGAACATATAGGCAGCTTAAAGAAAATTACAAATTGGAAACCTATTTATTGTTAAATATTGACAGAAAAGTAATAGGACATTTTGCCAAAATTCGCATAAGTAATAGTGTTCTTAAAATTGAACAAGGACAACACACTAAAACACCTGTAGAAGAAAGAATTTGTCCCTTGTGTCTTTTAGAAGTAGAAGATGAATTTCATTTCACTATAATATGTACAAAACTAAATGCAATTAGAGAACAATTATTTTCCAAAATTAGTGAAATAGTTCCCTCTTTTTTAAATATGACTAATGAAGCAATATTTAAATTTTTGTATACCTGTGGTGAGACTGATATAATTAAAATTATTGTAAAATTCATAAGCACCATGTATAATTCTAGAAATGCTTTATTGAGTACTTAATAACTTTGTGGTACCACCTCCTCAGCAGAGATTATATACATTCATTTATTATTGTAACAATATTTTTCTTTTAATAATGGAGGGGATATACAGTTACATGTATATATATATAATGTTTATAATGTGGTCAGATTTTGTTTGTATGTTTATGTATTGTCTTGGTAACAATCCTATAATTTTGGATTTTGAACCAATAAAATTATCTAATCTTATCTTATCTTATCTTATACAAGACAGATTGGTAGGAACAAAATTCAATGTAATTTCCCTCATACAAGTATTATTTTTTTTGGAGGGGGTGAATATAATGTCCTGTTACCATGGTTACGTACTGAGAATAAATAATCTTGCCGAATACAGGATAACAATGAAAAGTCCTCACCACGAATAGCAGCCAAGGCTGTTACGCCACTGTCACAGGTTAGGGGAGCGTTGGACAACCGCGAACATGTTTAACCGCACCACATTCTGTATGCGCCTGTCCAAATACAGGAGCCTGTAATTCTGTGTTTGTTGTTTCTTGCTGTATATCATATTAGTTTCTCTTTTATTGTTTTGAACGTTGAATAAGGTAATAAGTTTTCTCGTTAAAACTGTTATACATGACGAGGGGAGTTTTTAACGACCTTGACTACCCATGAGGGCCTGCACGGTCATACATGTGTCAGGCCGTGGCCTTTTATAGCTTGATATGCGGTATTGGGTTTGTTCATTGCTGAAGGCCGTACGGTGACCTTTAGTTGCTAGCTTCTACTGTGGATAGTTATTTCATTTGCAGTCATACCACATCTTCTTATATTTTTTTTTATTAATGAATAAATCATGTTTTCCAAGACTATGTCTATTTACCTTTGTTCACAGGTGCGGATCCAGGATTTTGAAAAGGGGGGTCATGTCAAGCCAACGTTTGGAGTGATTCTTGTCTATTGAGGTGTCATATACGTAGTTCCATAAGGGGGTCCAGGAACCGTCCCCCATAAATCCGCCTCTGATTCATATCCGGTTATATCGTTATCTTTCCTGACGTGCACTCTAAATCTTTTTTCATATCTATAGTAAACAACATCGTTGTGTATTAAGTTTGCATGAATAATTGACCAAAATCGGGATGTAGTGCTTTAAAGTTTGATTAATATAATGCTCACTCCATTGATTGACAACAAATCAGCCTTCTAATATGAATATCGTATCATTCAAAACCGTTTACAGAATGAAAAGTTGAATTCTGAATAATTCTTCCGTTAAATTACTAAATTTACACTAACGATGTTTTTCGTTTCTGTGTATGTGTAAATAATTGGTGCTGAAGGCAGGTCGACGCCGTTAGTCTGTTTTCTTTATAGGCGCTCCTGAGAATAAGAAGTTAGAGGACCATATTTTTACAAAACAATTTCTGTATTTTTACCTATAAATAACATTTCCCCCTTTTTTTAAGGCGTCTGAATCCTCGTCTGTCCAAGATTATAAATATAGTACAATTGCAAAATAACGTTACCTATAAAGTAGGTTAGTACTCACTCATTGACATATACATTTCACATCTACTTTTATTTCTATATTTACAAGTTGAAAGCAAATTAAAATGGCCAGAATGTGAAATTTCTGATGAAACCAGGAAAGTTCTATAGAATAACCTTTTTTCAAATACTATTATAATTTCTGATCTAGTTGACTCTTATTTTGTCGATGAAAATAAACTCATCATAGATACCAGGATTGAAATTTTGTATTTGCGCCAGACGCGCGTTTCGTCTACAAAAGACTCGATCATCAGTGACCCTCGAATCAAAAAAAAGTTGAAAAGGCCAAATAAAGTACGAAGTTGAAGAGGATTGAGCACGACGGTAATGAATGTCACAAACGTTTTTTTTTTTTAAGCGACGGTAATGAACATCACAATATTTTTTTTTATTCTTTGGTATTTAATAACTGTCACAATAAAATTGATTTCCATTGGTATTGCGTTTATAATTAGTATAAACCAATGACAAGACACGTTATTGCCTCTGGGTTTGTAATTTACATATACACAATTATTACCAAATATATACGCATTCTGATCACGTCTTATGACAATTAATGTGTGTACTAATAATTGCATTATTATTCATAAATCTATGTTTACAATTGTCCGAAACAAAATGGCCGACCATGAGAAAATACAAAGTTTTGTGAAAATATCTTTGATATTTCAAGTATGCGGTTTCCTTATTCTTGTGATAGGATTATCGACTCCATATTGGAGAGCTATACATTTTGAATATGTTGCAGAGTCGAGGAACGAAGTTGGTTTACTGATACAAGGATTTGATGAAGGACTCTGGAGACGATGTATCAATAGTATTTGTGCAGATATTGACTTGGCGGGAAGAGGTATGAGGAGGTGGAGGGACTTTGATTAAGACACGAGGTTATACCTTGTGTGTAAGACAGTTACACTTTGGGTGTAAGAAGGTGACACCAGGGGCGTTTCCAGGATATTTGAAAGAGGGGGCGTAGAATACAATCTGTCGCCAAGCGGAGCGAGGCGAAATTTTGTTTTTACCTTTTTTGGCTAAAAAACATAAAATAATTGTGAAATGCACTAATATAACGGTTCTTTGACTTGGAGCATGTATATTTTATAGTTAAAGTGTCAGGGTTTGATATTTTTTATGCCAAATTCTCTCCATTAATTGTCTATGGTATATTAAAATGATTGGATGGATCTTTACAGCAGTAGACCAATAACGAGAAATTCCAAATTCTAGGGTATAGGGCGTTACTTTACATTTCAATAGTCCTAGGCCAGGATTTTATGAACGAGAGGCGTAATTCCGGTTGCCCTGGTATAGGGTCCATGGGGAAGGTCAGAAGCTCCTGGATTTCAACAATTCAGCATCAAATTATGAAGTATTATAAAAGACTCCATGATAGACAAATTGGTGAAAATAGTCTGCCTTCGGATCATTCAAATTATGTATTGATTAACATGTGGATATCAAATCTTTGGAAGAAGTTATAAATTCAGTTAAAAGGTTATATGAAATGGGCATGAAAAATGGAAAATAAATCTTTAACGATAGCTTTTTCTGAACTTTTGATATATATATATATACCCGTTTTGTTAAAATATACCTTTTCACTGTTTTGGTCTTTTGGAAAATGTTGTTTGTGCTGTATTTAGACCCCTTTACCAAGAAATTTGTTTTGCATGCACACGTATAAAAATTGCGCCCGGGTTTTTATCCAACGCAATCATAGGTTTGAACTTTGTTTTCAATTTAGTAGATATAAAAACATGTGGTATGAGTGCCAATGAGACAACTCTCCATCCAAGTCACAATTTATAAAAGTAAACCATTATAGGTCAAAGTACGGTCTTCAACACGGAGCCTTGGCTCACACCGAACAGCAAGCTATAAAGGGCCCCAAAAATTACTAGTGTTAAACCTTTCAAACAGGAAAACCAACGGTCTAATCTATATAAGAAACACTTATGAACCACATCAACAAACGACAACTACTAAACATCAGATTCCTGACTTAGGACAGGTGCAAACAGTTGCAGCGGGTTTAAACGTTTTAATGGTACCAAACATTCACCCTGTAACAATAGTGTAACATTGTATTTATAATATCCCGTTCTAGGTAGTCAAACCTGACCCCTTCCAATGCAAGGCGAAAAATACATAACCCCATTTCAGATAATTTAGCTGAAAATGCAACCCCGTTTGTCGGAACATACCCGGTATCATATATAGCGAGTATCCCCCGGGTAGATGTAGAATGGCCATTGGGGAAGTGTCACACAAAACAACCATTTCATGTATAGATTTACTTACCGCTTTGGTTGTTTAAAAAAAGTGTCCAAGTCACGCATCGGATGGGGGAATCAGTATAAAAGAAATCAGAGTATGTGTTTAATTAATGAATATGATAAATTGCCATATTCGATACACTATTGGCAGATAACGATAGTTTTTTTTTTTTTTTTTTTTTTTTTGAAAAGGGCACCCATTACGCCCTTACCTGGACCCGCCCCTGGACACTGGTCTGTACCTCCCAATTAAAAGAGAGATAGTATAGTACACAGACACTAAACTCAGCGAACGTTTTGTTTACTCGCATACCGCTTCCTTCCCAAATATCTTACTGATTTTGTTTAGCTAGATCTTTGATTGACCCTTTTCAATTTCTTATCCGTTTCAACTATAATGGAAATTTGACGGTGTTCAATGGTTGATATATAATATATCTTTGCATGACAAGACAAAACAAAACAATGATCGCTGCTGAAATTGCTATATAAATGAAATCTTTTGGTCAAAGGACAATGTGTCACTATACTATGATAATACATCATAATCATGAGGGAAAATACAAATACGTGCGTGGACAGGTTTTTTGAGATGCAAGTATTTGAAAAATTAGACTTATAGTTGCCTTTTTTTATTTCATACGCGGAATTCTAAGAAATGTATGTTAAACATTATGAAACTATATTACAAATGGCAGCAGTTTTGAAATATTTTGTTTTTCGTGATGGAATATGAGATGTTAATGTTTTAAAGCATGTTGAAAATACTGGGCTTGGTTAGCAAACATTTCAATTCGGTTAGCTTTATAGTTCAGTTTTAGGGCTGTATATATATCCCTCCGAATGTAATATAATATAAACAAGTTTTTGCACTTTAAATCGGTGATTTCCATCTTCTTTTTAATATAAACCAAAAGGAGACAGCTATTTTTTAAATGGACAAGAAGACAGACACCATCAGGGCAAATAGAAAAAAGGCTAACATCACATAATACTGTAACGTGTAACCAGGCGTTTATATCTTAAACGTCCGTTCCAGTAAATACTTGGATTCAAGCTGTCCATAAACAATACGGCAATACTATTAACTATCTATGTTATACACAATAAACTATATATATATAATAAAATATACACACGGGCTCTTTGCCGATATAAAGTAACGACTAACAATTATATATATATATATATATATACAAATATAATACAATCTTACAGCCTGTCCTCCAGATGGGACGGTCTGTCACTACAAGACAGTGTGGCTGGTACAGTCTGTCGATACCAGACAGTGCTGCTGGTACAGCTGTCCTCCGAGTGGGACAGTATGTCACTACAAGACAGTGCGGGTTATATTATTGCAGTCCGTCCTCCGTATGGGACAGTCTGCTCTGCCAACTTCCTATGTCAGACCAACTTGTACCTAGTACAAGTTGTCCCCAGTACAAGTTGTCCTCGACAATATCACTTACAGCTATGTAACGTGCCTTACTCTTGTACACTGGTCTTCTTAATGAGAATATCGACAGAACCCAAATTGTAATCCTCACCCGCTTATATACCCCAGGGTGAATACAATATTTACTGGATAGGGGTGTTCTCTAAATGTTCCCGATACCGAACACAAGAATCCCTCTCAAACACCCCCATACCCTTGGACCCAACCACTGACTTTCCCGCCAAACGTCTAAATCGACCCAACGCTTCCTTCTGCGTGAAACATGTATTGATACAACAAGGTTCTTCTTGTTTGTAACCATAACGACCAATAAACATTACATAACCCACGCCTCAATCTACATGCGTCCCGCATGATATAAACATTACAATTACAAAACAAAATTCATCCATAAATATATGTACACAATCTTGACTTTATTCAATTTCACAATCAGCCATCCAGGCTGGTGTCTGACTCTTATGACGACTATTTTCCTCCTCTAATCTCATTGAGGCACGATTCTTTTTCATTGGGTGGTTTCTCCTAGTACACTTATTGCAACTAGCAACATATGTCCTAACGTCAGATTTCAAACCAGGCCAATAGTAAGACTGGCGTATTTTCTCTCGAGTTTTATGAATACCTAAGTGACCAGCATACTTTGTGTCATGACAGTATTCTAATACTTGTTTGCGCTCCGACATTGGAATTACCGCTTGTAATTTTGCAACGTTCAGTTCTAGGTCATTGAAGCGTCTAACTACTATATCCTCTTGGAGCTCTAAACTATCAAACTGACTCCATAATGACCTTATAAAGAATCCCTTACCGGATACCTCATTGTATTGTGGCCTATGACCCTCTGTCAGCCACCGCTTAACAAGTTTAAGGTCCGAGTCATTCGATTGTAACTCATTTAAAGTCAAGTCTTTACCATTGTCAGGCATCTGACTGGTTACGATTTTGACATGGCTATGTTCCCTCTTAGAACAATCACTGCTCATGTTTGACTGACTGTCTGATGTTAACCGACGTGGTTTGCCTGGAGCACTACTTAATGCGTCAGCATTTCTACGTTGGGTACCTTGAAAATTTAGAGGAACCCTAAAGTTATCGATGTGTAATAAGTTAGCAGACACGTCAATCAAACACTTATTTTTCTTCATAAAGTCTAAACCTAGAATACCATCTACTTGTAGGTCAGTTACAACGGCCTCTGAAGTAAACTTCTCTTTACCAAAATCCATTTTAAAACTACCTTTACCTCGAAGGCTTAGATATTTGTCACAGACGGACTTAATCTGTGACCTAGTTTTACTCAGATGTGGCCTACACAAGTCAGGAATTAAATCATACACTCTTGTAGAGACTAAAGTTAGTGTAGTTCCAGTATCAACCACAAACTTGACTGGTACATCTTGAATGCTCAACTCAACAAACATTCCTGCATCCTCTGATGCTGAAACAACAACAGCGCCTTTATCATTGTTTGAAGACTTAACTTCAGACTTCAGTGTATTAACCGATCCGTCCGTATATGTTCCGTTGCTATCTGTTCCCCGAGTACCTTGCTTCTGATTATTATTAGGACAATTTCTTGCAAAGTGTCCTATTTCTCCACAACTGAAACAAGGACCACGCCTTTTTCCTTTGCTTTGTGTGTTATTTATCTTCCCCTGTGGTTGGAACTTTCTCGTGTACTTTAAATCCCTAAGTTCTTTTGTTAAGGATTGTAAACTATTTTCAATCGTCTGTATCCACGCCGTCATTTGTCCCATAGATACAGTCATATCAGGACTATTAGGTGCTTCTGTCCGTTCGTCACTAGTAGTATGTCGTAAGTGACACATACTTTTCATTGTTCTACTCTCAGCCTTGTTATAAGCTTCAAGCTCAACCGCCAACCGTATAGCTTCGTTAAGACCTTTTGGACGAGACTGTTTAATTCTCAGTCTCATTTCTGAGTCTACTAGCGCATCTATAAATTGTTCTTTGGCAAGCGTGTCCCTTAATTCTAACGGAGCAGTCGGGTAGGCCAGATTAGAAAGTCTTCGAACTGACTGACCTAACCCCGGTAAAGTCTCGCTTGCTTTTAGTCGACATTCCTTGAAATGAACACGATATAGGTCAGTTTGA